GATTTGTAAATGAGCAAATAAACATAAGGAGAGAAAACAAAACATGCACCTATAAAGACAGCCTGGAAAACTATACCATCACAACACCATGCCTCAAAATCAGAATTGCCAAAAATCTAGCATGCATGCTACCCTGCACAACCTCTATACACCCATGGCAGACATTGCCAGTCAACCACTGCTCACTCTCACTCACTCTCTGTCTTTCTCTCTCTCTCTCTCTCTCTCTCTCTCTCTCTCTCTCACACACACACACACACACACACACCACACACCCCACACACACCTTTAAATCAGAGAATGAAAATATGCAGCATGTGTATTGTCTTGCATATCTTCTACACCCCTGCCAGACATTGTCAATCAATCATGATTGTCTTTGTCCCTAGACACTGGCACAATCTCAGAATCCATCCTTCCAACACAGAGCTCCAGAAGCCTCTGCTAAGCAACTTGGATCTCTAAGAGCTGAAAGCCATTCCTTTACTAACTCTCCTCCACTTAGAATTGCTACCCCAACCCTCTTACAGACCTCATTCCATTCTCCTCTCATTCCTCCTGGCTTCCAGATGGGTGCTAACCCCCGCTCCCCGCACCTGTCAGACTCAGCATTGGGCATCATTTCCCACACAATGGGCTTAGCAAGACTTTGACCACACTTCAGGCTCTGCATCCAACCAAGCTGCCTCAGACCAACCAGCCACTCATTTCAACTCACTTATCTTTACTGCAGCTTCAGAAGTACTGTTCCCACACCTAGAAAAGAAAGCCCCATTATGTGTTCATGGATTCCCTGGGCCAGAGTGGCCAAATATATATCGTATCAGCTGTCGCTCCCTTTCTTACTCTCTCCTATGACCCCTAAGGCATCCCCAGGTGTTTTCTTAACACTGGACCCCAGATGACCATTAAAACCCAATCCGGACTTGCATCTCAGAAGAAAGGTATTTGCAAGTCATTTCACAAGAACCAATGGGAACTTCAGTTCCAAAATCATTTAACTCTGTAGAGTGAGTCAGGTTGCAACTAACTCTTCATTTCCTTCTTGATCTCTGGGAGATTCTTAGAATGAGAGTAGATTCCAAACTGTCTTAAAGGGTGACACCCAGCAGGTCTAAGCACACAGCAAGAAAGGGCCACCCTTTCTTGACTGTCATGTCACATGTGCACATGACAATGTCATGAGCACAGTCTCTATGGCTCACCGGAAAACATGATCCATATTCTGAGTCCTGGCAGTGCAGCCCTCACTCATCCATTTCCTGCTTTACGTTGAAGAAATCTTACAAAAATAAAACAACCTGGCACATTGCATTACATCAAAGCATGATGTAATATCATCATTTTTAAAGCATGTTTTAAATTATGATGTTGCGATATGCCACAAAAAGCAGGATTGCCCAAGTACCAATCAATTTGACAGTGACAGTTTATCCCAAAACCTTGACAGACTGAAGAACAGTAAAGGTTGGCCGAAGAACAGGTTTTTAGCCACTGCTGAAGAGTTGCCTACGAATCACCTGGGCACTATTCTGTCTCATGTGCTTCCTAAATTCAAACCCGCTAGTCCTGGCCAACCAAGATGGCAGCCACTAACCAATAAGAATAATGAGAATTTTACATATGACAGCCCCAAAATTCAAAAGCCCTGCAAGCATGGACTGCACCTCTGTAGGACTTCTATACTGAAAGCTTAGTGTCTCCAAAATGTGTGAGATTCCATTGATAATTTCATATTAACTATATGTTTAAATTATATTGGGATATATTCAATTAAATATATCAAATAATTGCTTCCACTTTTTTTTACGTTTTTACTCGGGTTGCTAGAAATTTTTTTAAATGCATTTATGACACATAATTTCTGTTGTCAGCGTTGCTGGAGGAATATCAAATATCCCCTTGCTTCTCTGAGCAGGAAGACCAGGCAGCTGACTGTTTGAAAGAAAAGGAAGCAAAAATCCCCTTAGTGTGTTAGGTCTGGTCACAAACAGTGAAATTATAATGCATTAATTTATGCATTCAAATACATTTCTTGAACACCCACCAAGCACTTTTCTAAGCACTGAGTATAACACAGCAGTAGGAAAATTAGATCCTCATGGAACTCACATCCTAGGATGGAGATGGATGATAAATAAATATGAAGAAAAGTGCAAGGGAGATTGGAAAAAAAATTTTAAAAAGGGTAGGGCCAGGGAATAGAGCGCCTCTTGACAGAGTCTCTCGCAGTGTCATAGGGCCCAGGAAGACATCACTAAGGAGTAACACTTTAGCTGAGACTTCAAAGAAGAAAGGTTGAGCCCAGTGACACCTGGGGAAGAGCATTTCAAACCTAGGCAGCACCACGTGTCAGAGCTCTTGTCCCACCTGGGGAGCCGCAGAAGTCCTGGAGGGACAGACAGAGCAGGACTGAGAGAAGGAACCAGAGGCAGTGAAGTCACAATGGGATGGATATATGTAGATCACATAGGGGAGTGGTCAGCAAACCAGGACCAGCAAGCCAAATCTGCTGGGTGTATAAAGTTTTATTGAAACAAAGTGATAGCAGAAGCAACAGGGAAGGTCTGGTCAAGATTGTCAGGGATTGGCGGATGGATTCCTGTAGTGTTAACCAAACCAAGTCCCAAATGTCAGGGGCTGGGGTTCTTCACTGGAATGACTGAAGAGTAGGAATTTCTGGGTGTGCTGGACAGGGTACTGTTTCTCTTTGTCCTAGCCTCTTGCCGGATTTGGGGTGGCCCAAGAGTTCAGAATGGTTTCCACATTTTCAAATGGTTCAATTTTCAAGTGATATTTTAGAACATAAAAATTATATGAAATTCACATTACATCATCAGGAGTAAAGTGGAATTGGAACATGGCCACCCCCAAATATTTGCATATTGTCCCCAGCTGCTTTCCAACAAGGACAAAGACCATGTGGCCTCCAAAGAAGAAAAGGGTTTCCAAGGGCTGGACGTGTGATGCCCAGTTAGCTTGTGGGTACCTACGCCACATCAATCTGGGATTTTCATTGAGGAATTCAGAAAATGAAATTTGCCTTAGGAGCCTCGTTCTTTACTTCAAGTAGCTTGAGGGGCCAAAGCTCCACTGGCAACCAGTTTACTCCTCACCTCCCTGGTTTGCAGTTGAGAAAAAAGCAAATTTAAATACTCTTACCCCTCATGTAACAGAGTATGTCCATCCTTGCTGCAAGATAGGCCTGGACTGCTGAGTCAGACCTGAGCTCCTGTCACCCGTGTGGTACATTATCTAGAAGCCTCTCTATCAGCAGGCATTTCTTTGGTTTCAGGTGTCAGAAACACCTCAAACTGACTTAAGGACAAAAGATAGTTGGCCTATGTAAATCAAAAGACCTGAAGTAGATCCAATCCGGAATAGCTGTGTTTAGGGGACTTACTCTTTCCCCTGCTCTAAATTCTGCTTCCTCTTAAATTAACTCATTTCTAATTCAGCTCCTGCCTTGTTGTGACAAAATGGCTGCCAGCCAACCCTGACTAACATCTTCACAGTTCATGTCCAGAGATACGGTGTGCCCATTGGCTCCCGTAAATGTCCCAGAATTCACGCTGACTGGCTCTACGTATTCACTCCAGGACCATTCTCTGAAGCTGGGGATATGCTCTTATCTGATTGGCCAGGCCTATCAGGAATCTGTGCTTAACACTGAACCCACCTTACCCTGCCCTTCTCTCACGTGACCCCCTCCCTTCACAAGCCAAATAAGCAAATTCTTGTCTGTCTCTCATGCAGAGAACTTCTTCTCTTTCCTTTATTTTTTTTACATTTTTATCATATTATTGTTGCACTGAGGGCACATTGTGACATTTACAAAAGTTCTAACAATATATCATAGTTGAATTCACCCCTCCGTCATTCTCCTTTATCCCTCTTCCTCTTACCCCCATTCCTGAAATGGTTTCAAAGGGTCTCATTTTTCCATTTTCATACATGAGTACAGAATATTTCCACCATA